CCACTGTTGTTCAATCTGGAAAAATCATTATAAATTTCTTCACTGCAACCCCTCCACCCTGCTGCTCTCTGATACCATCTATCAAATTCATTTCGGGTATTAAAAATGAAAATGCTGAGATAAAGAGGATTACACCTCTGACTCTAAAAAAAGTGAAGAATATTAAATAGAAATTTTACAAAGAATTGATATATGTAAATGTATATATACAATACATTGTGAAGGATGGCTTGATGTTGAGCTGTAGATCAATCAAGATGGTGAACACAAGAAAATACATGAGGTACATGTGAAGGTGATGGAGGTAGGTCGCATATACTCTTGGTCTTCTTCTATGTATATACCATAATTGGAAAAGAAATGAGGAAACAGTTAGTCAACAGGACTAAGCAATTATATATAAGATTCATTTTCCATCAGTTTCTGAGTTAGTCACAAAATCTTTTAAAGAAAAATATTGTTCATCATCAACATTGGAGATTTTTTCCACTAACTGCTCAATTAGATGCAATGTGGTTGTTAAATTTCTAATAATTAATAAATAAATATTATCATCATTATTATCATCAAAATATTGTAGAAGTCTACTAAGCATAGTTGATAACAGTTCAAGACGAATTAATTGATTATGTAAATAGTTATAATTTTCAGATAGTAATAATGCATTTGTTGCTTGAATAATAACATTTACACATGATCAAGAAATTGAATCTGTGATTCACTCATTGTATATATTTAATCATAAAATTTAATTAAAAAATAATTTTATTCTTTTATTTAAAAAAAGCTTTACACAGTGTTTTAAACATTAAATAAAAACGTGTAGCCTTTTTAAGAAATAAAAAATGTATGTAGCATTTATAAAAAATGACGTGTAGCATTTTTTAAGAAATATAGTGTAGCATTAAAAAAAACCGGAGTGTACTGTTTTCTTAACACTGCATCAAAAATTTCTAGTGTTTAATTCAAATGACCTTTTGTCCATTTTGGCTTGCCATACATAAAACTTATGACCTAATGACCTATGACCAATGGTCATATGACCACATGACCATTGGTCATCAAGAAAATATGATATGACCCTGGTCATAACCCAACACTGGGTGGGTCTTGGGGAAATTCTTACTCCTAGTAAAAAAAAATGAATGAAGGTATTTTTTTTGCTTACACAGAAAAATAACTTTTAAAAATATGTAGTATTTTACATCATAATTTAATATTTTGCTTTATAATAAAATAATACTTAGCTAAATTCTATAAAGGTAAATAAATACTT